GAGTTTAACATTTAAGAGTGGTCAAGAATACTTCACAAAAAAGTGTATCAAAGGCACGTTGAATGTGTGTGATGGTTCAGTAACGGTCAACATGCTCATAGGTGCAATTACCCCTTCGTTTAAATCAATATTCAAGATATTGAAACTCATTGGGATGGGTTATTAGAGTACAGACTCTGCTAAGGGAGAGTACTCTTAGAATTTGTGGCAAGTGGGAAAGAGATCCTTATGCCCCAAAGGGAGCTTTTCTCGAACTAGACGTTGTATAACATCATTAGGAGTGGCTGTGAAGCGGAGCGATGCCAGCTGAGTTGCACGAGATAAATGAATGAAACTTGCAATATCAGTGAGGTCAACAACCCAACATAACAGAGAAAGGGTTTCATCACAGGGAAGGGGCTCGATACAAATATGTTCGAGTGGTTAATTTTTCGTTGGCTACTAAACTGGTGGTAAAATAAGCTCCATATGGTTGTGTGGGCATTAACTGTAGAACCTCACATAGTAGTTCGAGGATTTCATGCTAATACTCCTCCATCTTGTGCACTTGATCCTTTAGAGAGGGGCCCAATGCGCCTTCATTAGTAAAGTGATTCCTTTAAGGAAGATGCAAAATCCTGGCGCCCTTGGCTCCGTGGCTATCCCTTAGAATGATGGGTATTTGAGTGAGAAGCTTCGTTGTTGCTAGCATTGCATCTGATGGTCATTCAACATGTCTCTCAAGAACTTATGCGGTTGGACTACCTTTCCCATAGACAATGACAAAATGGTGTGTGTTAGAAGATTCACATTAGTAAAGTAATGAATTATTGTCTTAGCATTGTTCGAGAATCTAGCCCACAACTAGATAAAAGAAAACAACCACAAAAGAAATTAGAGGTTTTTATGTGAAAATTTTGAAAAGGAAAAAATCACGGTGCTAGGCTCTGTTAAAATCATCTAATATTAATTCATGATCACATGCACGTCCTCTTGTCCCATAGGCGAGAGAGGACTACACAATTTCCCAAGATATAATATCTATTGCACAGTGGACTGTGATGATTATAGTTAGTAACTGTTGTTAGGACTTTAGTATCTTGTCTTTGAGTTGTGTTGGTGCTCGGTGTTTCTAACAATGCGCTGCTCTGCTATGTGCTTTGTTGTTCCACAACATATATTGAAATTCTAGAATGCATGTTGTGTCTTCATAAGGAATATGTGATGCTTGATGGCGGTCGATGGCGACCTACGAGTAGTGGTCTCCAATTGTCGAGGGTTGTAGGAGCGATTGACGTGCACTGGACCTTTGGTGTAGAAGACGAGCTTCCCCTTCTTTTCCTCTAAGCTCTGGTCCTCTCTGGTTCAGGGTCTAGGTCCCCTCTTAGGAAGGGGAAATATTTCCATACGAATTACGCACGCAGAGCTGCATGAGTAATAACCCCTCAATAATCTCTGTTTCGCGGTTATTAGGGAGTTATTGGGAGGTTATTGAGGTATTAATTTCAATAACATATAACCCCAATAACCTTTGCTGGTTTCATTTCGATGTTATTCATATGTTATTATGGGGGTATTGTGGGGTTGATGGAGTATGCACGCAGAGCTGCGTGCATATTCTGTATGTAAATATTTCCCCTCGGGAAGAGTGTATAACTCTTTTTATAGAATACAGGGGATGTCTATTGGTAAATAAGGAAAGAATATGATCAATCCATCGAGCGACCCAGAGAAATCCTCTCGATCATGCGATATTTTGCGGACGGTTAAGTGCCTTAATGATATCAGGATTGAGTGATATTTGTTTTGTTTAATTCGTTTTATTGAGATGCTTAGTTTGATTGTAAGAATTTCTATTTTGGAATTTATTTGGCCTTCCAATTGGGCATCC